GAAAATAAATTAAAAAAAAAACCAGATAATTTTAACAGAGAATTGAAATGCATTTAAGAGAATTAGCAAGACAATGTGGCAGTTCCTGAAAAAGTTAAAAATAGAACTACCATATGATTCAGCAGTTCCACTTCTAGGTATATGCCCAAAAGAACTGCAAACAGGGATTCAAAAGCTATTTGCACACCATTATTTACAATAACCTAAAGTTGGAAACCACTCTATAGTTGACCCGTGAACAACACAAATCTAAACTATATGAGTCCACTTATATATGGTTTTTGAAAAGCTTACACTTAAAAATAATTCCCCTCTGCTGTTATATTTCTTATATTAGTAATTCCTCCCTTTGCTACGTTAAGAAGCTGTTATACTCCTGAGGAAAACCTTAAAAAAAAAATCCTGCCTGGATTTTAGAATTCATAGAGTTAAATTGATTTTTATTTTCTTAGAATTTTGGGAAGCTCAAATTTCCCTTCCCTCCTGTAAGTTTGTAAGGTCAGGATGTCTAGTCCTCTGCTACATGCACACACCTAGCACCACTGGCTTGGGTTAAGATAACCACTCAATAATTACAGAGTCTTTCATAAGTTACAATAATTGGGATCCAAACAATCATTACTACCAAAAATATAACTCTCAGATTAAATGTTTTAATATTATTTACATCAGAATATATTAGCAGGAAACAAGGAGTTAAATTTCCTTAGCTTCAAACATTTATTTATTTATTTATTTTAAATATATTTTATTGATTTTGTACAGAGAGGAAGGGAGAGAGATAGCAAGTTAGAAACATCGATGAGAGAGAGCCATTGATTAGCTGCCTCTTGCACATCCCCTACTGGGGACGTGCCCGCAACCAAGGTACATGCCCTTGACCGGAATCAAACCCGGGACCCTTCAGTTCCCAAGCCGACGCTCTATCCATTGAGCCAAGCCGGTCTCGGCTAGCCTCAAACATTTAAAATATAAGTGCTATGGGAGAGGATCCAAGATGGCTGCTTGGGTAGACATCTAGCCGCGGCAGCACACAACAATTTCAATGGAATACAACTAAGATGTAGAGTGGACATTGCCCAGAGATACAGGTAGTCGACTGACTGAAATTTCTACAACAAGAAGGAAAGAGAAAACCAGAAGGAAAATCAGAGGAGCTGAAAAAAAAAGCCTAAGGTACAGAGACATGTTGCGCACCCGCCCACGCGCGCAGAAAGTTCGCAGCCGGAGAGGAGGAGAGGACGGGGAGCTGCCTTTCCCTTCCTAGCAGGAAGGAAATAAAACCCCCAGCCTAGGCTGAACCCCGGAACCGGCAGCACTGAGCCCCCCAAACCGGCAGCGCTGAGCCCCAGTTATGGGCCAGACCCTGGGCACCCAGGCTCCGGCAGGGGGAGACGGGGCTGTGAGGCGGAAAAGCGGTGAAAAGCAGGGCCCCCGGAGTAGCGCGCAATGGGCGCGCAGAGGACTGAATGTTGACTCTGATGCTGGGTTACCCTAGCCGGAAAAAACAAGGCCTCCGGCGGCGCTGGGCCTCAGTCCGGACTGCTCCGAACCCCAGTTCTGGGCCAATCCCTGGGGACCCAGACTCAGGCAGAGGGAGACGGGGCTGTGAGGTGGAGTCCGGGGAGAGCGGCGAAAGGCCTGGCCCCCGGAGTCGCGCGCATACTGCGCGCAGAGGACAGTCTGTTGACTCTGATGCTGGACTCCCCTAGCGGGAAGGAGAAAAAAAAGCTCCAGGCTGGGGGAACGCGGCGGGGAGCAGGAGCCCCTGCCTGATGCCGGCCAACCGGGCACCAGCAAGGAGCCCGGCGACGGGGTCCCTGGGGGAGGGTGCCCCTGAGCCTTCCACCGCTGAGCGCGGGCAATGGAGCCAAGGCCAGGGGGGCTGCTTCCTGGGAGGCGCAGTCCCCGGCAACAGGCTGAAGCAGCACAGGAGCCCGCGGAGAACAAAGGGGTGCCACAGGCCAACTAGCTGAGCTCCCAGGACAAGGAGGAAGAAACCAAAGAAGTTCTCAATGTGAAGAAATCAAGTGAGAGCAAAAGATAGTAAAATTACTTAAGAAAGAATACAAAGAAGTTCTTGAAAAATCAAAGACTAAGTCAGAACTCAACTCACCAGCCAACATTGCAACATAAATGCGTTTTAAAAAGAAAAAAGAAAAAAAAAAGGACAGAATGTTGAACAGCGGCGGCCAGGCCTAGAGTGGCCAGGCACAAGGCAGTGGCAGCCAGGCCTGGAGCAGCAACGGCCAGGCCCCAGAGCAGCAGCAGCCAGAACCAGAGCATCAACAGCCAGCACTGGAGCAGCCAGACCTGGGGCAGTGGCAGCCAGGCAGTGGCAGAGGCGGAGGCGGCCAAGCCCAGGGTGGCCAGTCCAGGAGCACCCAGACCCGGAGTGGCCGGGCCCGGAGAAGCCGAGCCCAGAGCAGCCGGGGTGGGAGCAGCCAGACCGAGAACAGCAGTAGCTAAGCCCAGAGCATCCAGGTCCGGAGTGGCCAGACTCGGAGCGGCCGGGCCTGGGGCAGCCGGGCCCAGAGCAGCCGGGTCGGGTGCGGCCAGACCCAGAGCAGCGGCTGCCAGGTTGGGAGGGGCCAGGCCCGGGGGAGCAGCCGGGGCTGGTGCGGCCAGGCCCGGAGCAGCGGCTGCCAGGCTGGGAGCGGCCAGGCCCGGGGGAGCAGCCGGGTCGGGTGCGGCCAGGCCCAAAGCAGCGGCTGCCAGGCTGGGAGCGGCCAGGCCCGGGGGAGCAGGCGGGTCGGGTGCGGCCAGGCCTGGAGCAGCGGCTGCCAGGCTGGGAGCAGCCAGGCCCGGGGGAGCAGGCGGGTCGGGTGCGGCCAGGCCCGGAGCAGCGGCTGCCAGGCTGGGAGCGGCCAGGCCCGGAGCAGCAGCAGCCAAGTCCAGAGCAACTAGGTCGGGAGCGGCAGTGACCAGACCCGGAGCAGCTGGTTGTGGAACGAACCAGAGCAACAGAGGCCAGGCCCTGAGCAGCCAGGCCCAGAACAGCTCGCTCCTCGCCTGCCCCTGCCCCACGGCTGCTTCTCAGACATGGCTGGAAACTTTCATGGGAACTTGAGGGTTCTGCTGAATCAAGTGATGAAGGCTTAGATCTGGATGTGTTGAGTTAGTATAGGGCTGGGGTGCTGATCTGTGAGTGCCTGGGGTGGGGCCTGGATGAGGCTGGTGGACCTATTGGGAAATGTCTTTTGTGTGAAGTGTATCATTGGGCATGTGGAGGTATTATTGATTTGAGAAAATGCTAAGTAACTGATTTACTGTCTGAAAAGGGATTTACTATTGAGGAAAGGGAAGGAAGAAGAGACTGAACATAAACTGCACCTATGGATGAGGACAATGGGGGATGGGGAGGGTTCGGAGGGTGGGGTGGGAACCTGGTGGAGGGGGGAAGAAATGAGGAACCTTTGTAATAATATGAACAATAAAGATTGATTTAAAAAAAAATAAAATATAAGTGCTATGGAAGCAAGGATTAATACTAGAAGTCTTAGATTGATAGAGCAATCTCCCAGAGGTATAGCCAAACATTAGAATAGAAATTTAATAATAAATGTTTATGCTTTTTAGATAAATTTCTGGTATTTGAGAATGATTACATTTATTCAAAAAATGTGTTCTGAAAAGGGTGCCTGTGTATAACACTTTCAAACTATAAACAAAAAAACCCATCTGATTAGAGTAAACTCAACTTCAAGTCAGTCTGTCTGTCTATCTATCTATCTATCTATCTATCTACTAGAGGCTCATTGCAGGAAGATTCCTGCAAGAATAGGGCTTCCTCAGGCTTATTCCTGTGGTCTCAGCGAAGCAGAGACAGGAGCAAAGCCCACCGAGGCAGGCTTTGCTCCCTTCTCCGCTGCCTCACTCCCTCCCTTCACTGCTTTGCTCCCTTCTGCAGTACTTGGCTTTCTTCTATGCTGTCTTCAATCTTTGCTTCATGCCTGCATATGCAAATTAACCATCATCTTTGTTGCATAAATCTGTATACTTGCTCCTGATTGCTTATGGGTGTAGCGGAGGGACAGTCAATTTGCATGTTTCTCTTTTATTATTGTAGACTAGAGGCCTGGTGCATGAAATTTGTGCATGGGGAGTGCCTCACCCTAGCCTGCACCCTCTCCAATCTGGGACCCTTTGGGGGATGTCTGACTGCCAGGTTAGTCCTGATCCCTGATCCCTGTGCCTAACCCAGCAGTTGGATATCCCTCTCACAATTTGGGACCACTGGCTCCTAACCGCTCACCTGCCTGCCTGCCTGATCAGCCCTAAATACTCTGCCTGCCTGCTTGCCTGATTGCCCCTAACCCCTCTTCTGCCGGCCTGATCATCCCTAACCTCTCTGCCTGATCACCCCTAACTGCCTCTGCCTTGGCCCCTGCCACCATGGCTTTATCCAGAAGGAGGATGGGTCGACCAGAAAATGTCCAGTCTATCTGGTCTAATTAGCATATTACCCTTTTATTAGTGTGTGTGTGTGTGTGTGTGTGTGTGTGTGTATTTATATATGAATGTTTATACACACACATCTTTAAAATATATTTTTATTGATTTCAGAAAGGAAGGGAGAGAGATAGAAACATCAATGATGAGAGAGAATCATTGATCAGCTGCCTCCTGGGGATGGAGCCCGCAACCCGGGCATGTGACCTTGATCGGAATTGAATCTGGGACTCTTCAGTCTGCAGGCTGACTCTGTATCCACTGAGCCAAACCAGCAAGGGCAAACTTCAAGTTTATTTGAAAAATAAAAATCCCTCTTTGTAATGATGATGCTCTCACACTAGTCTGTATGTATTATGTATTTAGACTTCTGAATATTAGATTTTCCTAAGTAGGGATTAGTCCTACCAAAATGCTAAGAAATTCAGTACAACTCTACAATCAAAATTAACTTTTACTTTTTGAAAATATTATTATATATATAAGTAGTAAGTAAATATGTTATTAATCTAGGTTTTTCCATATACCAGGAAATAAAAAATACTTACTATTATTTTCTTACAGTCCTTTCCTCTGCATAGTTCTGTATAGGTGGAGTACTGCACATATATAATCCAGCTTCCAACAAAAACTGCCAACCAGGAAAAGAAGAGATATTTCATCCGCACATATGAGAAACGAGCCTGAGAATAAAAGAGCACATAACAATTATTCATTCAGCACCAAGTCAGCACTCACTGTCTTAGAACACGGTTTCCCCCCTGCTTTTTTGAAAGAACTCAATATATATTCCGGGCTTTCATATGGCAATTCTCCTAGAACAAAGTGTACTTTCACTGAGTTCAAATAGTGCTGGCCTTAGAAAAGGAAGCTCCTTGGTCCAGCCAACAAAAAGGGAAACAAAATACCCTTTAAAATGTATAACCTTTCAAATACCACCAGCATTGAAAGCTACTTATTAAGCACAAGCACGTGCACCATGCTACCCTGGGCAGACCCTGTAAGGTCAGGTATGGGGAGACACACTTCTTATCTACCACAAATTTACACAAGACTTTCAAATAAGAATCTTAAAGTTCTTTATGGGTAATCAAGATAAAAATAATTTTTTAAAAAAAATAAGAACAATGGATTTGGCTAGTTGTCTAATCTCTCTCAGTGGTGTACAACCAGACTAAGAAAATAAACTCCTTTTTCCCTATTGTATTCACTAAGGCCTTATGTTCCTTTTTTTTTTTAACCAACCAAATGCTTCACCTCATAGATAGTCTGGAAAGTTGAGAATGCCACAACTACGAAAGGAGAAATGATTGGAGAAGAAAGTGTAAGACATATACAGAATATTTCCTCCTTCAGCAGATAATCTGTAAGGGAACACAATAAGATCCTCTTCGCATTGTTCTGCTTGCAGTGCTCTGGGATCTAATTGCAACGTGGACCAGTGGTACCTTTTCTCCATCAACCTGTTAACAAAAGATCGGTGCCACCAATCTAATGCCAGTGGTGTCCTCATCTGGGGTGTCGTAAAGAGAGAAACTTTATTCGGGTATACTGTTTTGCAAAGCAAGGAAACACCAACCAGTGGAAATTGAAAAGTACATGCTCCCCTCTCCACAAAGGGGATGCTGGGCTGTAGAGACAAGGTGCGTGCCCTGGATCTAGATTGGCCCATTTTTATGCAAATAAGAAATCCAAGAATGTAGTTTGATTGGTACAAATGGTACAGTTCTGATTGCTTGGGATTTTAAGTCCTGATTGGTTATTATGAAACTGCTCTGATTGGTCAGTAAAGAGGCAAATGATGATTCAACTGTGCAGCTCCAATTTGGATGAGGTAGGTTTCAGCTTATTGGTTGAATTATGATTCCAGAAACTTCTCTATAAGGTACAGCTCATGCAAGAGGCGAGCAGCTCAGTCCGAGGCTTTTCCCTGATATGCAGTGTGCAGGAGAGGCCTCTATAAACAACGGCTGCTACACTCCAATGATAAATTTGGGCCCTGTTAATGACAAGTATACATATATTTTTGACAAGTATATTCTTTCTTGGGATCACCAAAACCACACATCAAACAGTTTAATTTTCAAGTGTCAGTCGGTCAAGATAATCTGGCTTTTTATTTTGAGTCTGGAGCTGCAATGGCCTGGTTTTATAAACAGTAGAATTTAGGACTATGGAGAGAATTGAGCGGAATAAATTAAAGATGTGTAAACAAACAATAAAAAAACTAGTTTTGCTTTTAAAATCACAAGCCAGTTTCTCACACTGGGCAACAGTAGGATACTGTGAGCCTGGGAGCATACAGTGAAAGCAGAAAGAGATGAAAGAGAAATGAAAGTGCACCTGCAGAAGACAATGAGTGCACAGGAAGAAGAGACTCAGGAAATACTGAATTCAGCTGGCCCTATTTATGGTTGAGACATCAGTCTTTGTTAGGTTAACAGATGGTGAATCCCATTACCAAAAAGTTTAAGTACAACACATTCACAGTTAAATAATAGGGCTATAAGCTTTATTATTTTAATGTTATTAAATTACAAAAGAATGCATTTTAATGCAAGGTATTTTGTATACTCTAAATGAATCCAGTAAAAAGAAAATTCAGACAATTCCAAATTAAAATCACATAAATGACAATGGGAGTATATACCAAGGGGTTTGTTTGAAAGACATTTAAGATTATTTGGCCCTAATTAGAGGTCTGGTCATCAGATAGAAATGGGTACATAAGATGTGATGAGGCTTAAATATGATTAAATGACATAATACCTATAAAACATAAGTTCATTCCTAGGCACATAAAAATAGTCAACAAATGTTAGCTAAATCAATATGCAAGGCACTAAGCAAAAAGCCAATAATGCTGTCTTTATGATTTGATCACCACCTTCTTTTTTGAACTTGCCAGGAAGAAAATTGAATCTGAATCTGATGAAGCTTTTATCTCCAACTACCAGTTTACAGGAAATACAGGAGACAGAGGAGCATAAGGGAAGTCTAAGTGACACGATTAGGATACAATCAGCAAACTCCAGGCTGTGGGAATCGCTGCAACACACAACCCAGTTTCTTCAAGAAATAAATTACGGGGGGGGGGGGAGATAAAGAGAGGATGGGGAAAACGAAAGATTAAAAAATATTTAATAAATAAATAAAATAATCACAATATGTACATCTTTTTGAGTCCTGATTCAAATGAAAATATGTGCGGGGAAATGACATTTATGAAATAATTAAAAATTCGAACAGTGACAGGATACTTGGTGGTATTAAGGGTTTATTTTAATACTTTAGGTATGATAAGGGTCTGTGGTAATGCTTAAAGAAAAGAGCTCTAATATTTTAGAGATAGCTACTGAACTATTTATAAAAAAATTGATATACCTGGAATTTGCTTCCAAGTAATGTGGGAAGGGAAAAGTATGGGGAGTATGGTTGAAATAAGATTGGCCAGGAATTGATAATTATTCAAGCTGGGTGATGGGTACATGCCTTCTTTTGTAAATGTTTTTCTCTACTGATTTAAAAAGTTTTTATATTGTATAATAGGACATACTGCCACACCAGGACACCATCTTCCCACACATTCTTTCAGCTACTATTTATGGATTGTCTACTATGTGCCAGGCACTTTCAGCACATCTCCAGTTAGGGCCAAACACATAATAAATTTACCACACGACTACCCTTTAAATAGTTAAAAGTGCAATGTGAAGGACCATAGCATGGCAGAATTTTACTTTTAGAAGTCCAACCTTATATTAGGTTAATATTTTACATGATTTCTTTGAGACAGGATTTTACTAAAACAAGATTAATTTTGATTCATTTATTTAAACAATGAGGAAATATATGACACTTTTTTCTTTTTTCCTCTCCTTGCTCCACAGTAGGAATAAGTCACTGAGTAAAGAAAAACAACACAGATCCTATTGCTGAGTAGGGTTCTCGCCCAGTTCAAGATTTGACTCTGTCTTTCCTTCTGGACACCCACTTCAAAAAGCCCAGTGATGTCCACTGCCCTGCAGATTCTCTATCAATAATTAATTATTCAGGTTTTTGTACAAATGTTCAATAAAATTCTTTCTAATGCACAGTGTACTTAATGGATGTTGAAACTAAGACTTGTATATTTCTCCCTCCTGCATATCCAATTTAATAAACTGAAATCATTTGCTTTTCTATATAACTCAAATAGCTACATTTCAAATTTTCTCTGGCATATGTTTAAACTGAAAAACATCCTGTGAACTGGCTTGCCTGCTGAGTGCTTGCTATGATACAGAATGCCAAAAATTCTGGAGAGGAAGTTAGATTTAATGACATTCCCAGCAGGGCACTGGGCATCACCTGTTGTAGACATAATGACAAAAGGAGTGAAACACATTTTTATTCCAGCATGCCATGGAAAATAACGGATTTTGGTGTAACACAAAACAGTACAAGGACCTTCATGTGTTCTTCAATATCTACAGATCTTGATACTTTCTATTTAAAATAATGATTGGAGAAAAACAGTGAGAAACCAAGATGGCGGCATAGGTAAACACCTGAACTTGCTGCCTTGCACAACCACTTCAAAACTACAACTAAAAGACAAAACAGACATCATCCAAAACCACAGGAAGGCTGGCTGAGTAGAAATTCTACAACTAGAAAAAAGAGCCGAAACCGGTTTGGCTCAGTGGATAGAGCGTCGGCTTGGGGACTGAAGGGTCCCGGGTTCGATTCCGGTCAAAGGCATGTGCCTTGGTTGCGGGCATATCCCCAGTAGGGAGTGTGCAAGAGGCAGCTGATGGATGACTCTCCCTCATCGATGTTTCTGACTCTCTATCTCTCTCCCTTCCTCTCTGTACAAAATCAATAAAAATATATTTAAAAAATAAAAAAGAAAAAAGAAAAAAGAGAAAAGCACACTGAGACTCAGAGGAGCTGCAGAAGGCAGAGGTACCAAGGTGTGCGCACCAGAGGGCGGCTGGCTTTCTCAAGTGAAGGAAGACAAAAGCTACCAACTGCACTGAACTCCAGTTCCAGTTGAGAATCTGAGGACCCAGACTCATTCGGGGAGAAACTGGACTGTCTGGCAGCAGGCGAAACTCGAGGATGGCTTTCTCTCAGAGGTGCTTGCAGTGATTGCCACGGTACACGGAGAACCAGGGGACTCTTAGGGCAGGGATGACAGGAAGCCATTGCTGTCTGCTCCGCCCTGAGACTGCATGAACCAAAGCGATTTTTGTCCAGTTTCTTCCTGCACCCCTCACACCCTTCCCCCTCTCTCCCTGAGAATTGTCAGCTCCCTCCCTTTCTATGCCCCTTATTCTATTATATTCACCAGTTTATTCTGTTCCTCAGATTTTTTATTCACTTGATTTTTATTTTATTTTTTAAAATATATTTTATTAATTTTTTTACAGAGAGGAAGGGAGAGGGATAGAGAGTTAGAAACGTTGATGAGAGAGAATCATCGACCAGCTGCCTCCTGCACACTCCCCACTCCTGTCTGCCCTGCATGGTTTCTGTTGAGAAATCAGCTGACAATCATATGGGTGCTCCTTTATAGGTAACTAACTGTTTTTCTCTTGATGCTTTGTCTTTTGCTCTTGATATTTTAATTATGATGTGTCTTGATGTGGTACTCTTTGGATTCCTTTTTTTTTTTTTTTTAATATATTTTATTGATTTT